TTTTCTAACAATTCCTTTTATTATTCAACTTCATTTTTTTATTATAATGCTAATTATTATTATGTTAATTATTAATCTTATTCTTATTCATTCTTCTTTATAGTTATTTTTTTAAGATCCTACTCTTTCTACACTTCATCTAACACATCCTTATCCTTTTATCCTTAAGGTATTTCAATGTTCTTTTTCTTTTATCTTACAACTATATTAATTGTATCAGCATATAATCCAGATGCTACAATTATATTAAAATCTTACTATTCCATCCACCTGTTATTTCACATCTATTTAATGGATAGTTCTTTAAAATCATCTATATATTCTTTTAATTAGCTTCTATTCCTAAACTCTCTAAATATTTTGTTGCATATTCTTATTCAATTATTTTTGTAAAATTTGCATTCTTTCCAATCACCACTTCCTATTTATTAATCATCTATATCAATGTACATGTTATGTGTTTTTTAATTTTATCTAAAATATTCTTTCCTCTATACGTTACTTTACATTTTCTCTTTCTTATTTATTCATTTTAATTAATAATATATATAATTTAAATGAATTTTAATTGTTTCCATGAATTTTAAATACTCTTGATATTTAGTTTTGACTTATGTAAATTATTTATTAAATTAGGTTGACAAATTAAGAAGATTTTCTTAGAGTTTAGTTATTAAACTTTGAATCTTACCAAATCCTTTAAGATCTTACTTACAATTAGTGTGTTTCATTGGGTCAGTTGAACATTGTAGACAAAATTAAGATCTTAATTCTTTGCAGCCCAAATTTAAGCAAAATCCTAAAATATCATCATTTTCGTGTTAAATATCTTAACATGAAAATAATTTCTATTAATTCATTTTATAAATATTTAATTAATAATAAAATTAGTGTATAACTATATTTATGTGATATCAAATGCTGTATTTATTTGTTTGCTCAGCATATGTTGTGCTGATGGTAGAGCTAAAAAGTAATTTCAAATTACTTTAATCAATTTTTTTCTAAATTCGATCCAAGCAACGAAAAATACGAATATTTTTGATTGATTTTACAATTACAACTTAATAGAAATAAAATTTGTTAGGTATTATAAATTCAAGTAAGTATGATGCATCAAAATATTGACCTCTGATTTTTTGAAAACTCAATCTCATAGATCTAATTTCCAAAAAACCTTACTTCAAATACAATAAATTTTATGGTAAAATTACTAAAATAAAGAAAGACCCTGTTTTACGTCGAAGATTGAATTAATGTAAAATTAATTTATTTATAAAGATTTTTGTATTACAATTGTTAATTTCTCACAGTTGATATAAAGAGGGAATATCTATTTACAAAGCCAAATTTCATAAATATCAATAAATATAAAAGAAATTAATTTATGCTATTAATGGATCTATTGCATATTAGAGTTTTCATTCTATTCAGAATAGATGGAAGTTCAAATTAAAAACATTTTATTTAAAAATATCAACAAGTTTTTATTGATTAAATCGATAATTATCTTTGTCTCATTTACATTGATTAACCTTTATAAATAATCTTTTTTATTTTACATAGATTAAAATTAGCATTTATAATCAATAATGCTGCAAAACTCAAAATTTAAATGCATAAATAATAAATAGTCTTGTTATCAATAATCTACTACCTATAATTCGATATTAATATAAATATATAAATATATTTAGATCAATACAATTTTCATTAGTTTTCAAATTTAGAAGAAGTATAAAATATAACAGGTATCTCCTTCTTGTTCAACTGTTAATAGAGTAGAAAGAATTATATAGATTTTTTGTTAACTAAATGATTACCTTCTTAGTCATGCATAACTTACTAAAAGCACAGAAAAAGATTTTTGGAAAGACACAACTGATTATATTGAAGTACAGATGAAAAATGAAGTAAATAACATTTAAAATAGACTCAAAGTTTGAATAAGAAAATCAAGAAAGTCCTGAAAACCCTATGAAAAAAAAGATTAGAAATTTAAAGAATTTCAAAATTTGTTTGGCTTTTTAAATTTGATTCATTTATTATAGAATTGAATAGCAAGATTGAAAAAAGCAACCATTTTGATTTAATGGAATTCAAGGCTTGCAGAATACTTATAAGGGATTAATTCCATTACCTTTAGCGATCTTTCCACCTTTTTCAACGTTAATTCAAAAATTTTCGATAAATGAAAATGACAGTATTTGGTCTGAAGAGTCTATATATTATAAAAACTGTTTTGGTTAATTTCCTTCTTAAGAATAATATTGTTTCTCCGATTATTAAATTAATTATAATTAGTTTGATTGCTATGATTGATATTGCTATATTTTACCAAATTATTATTATTACTTTTAGACTTATTCGATTAAATTGGATATTTCAAAGTGTTTAAATTATGTTTATTTTTTTATGAATTAATTTATAGTTTTTCTTATTATATCTATTCTCTACTCTCTAAATTTATTTTTTATTTTTAAACTTCCTTTTGTTTATTTATTGTCTTAATTTTCAATTTTCTAAATTTTATTTTTCTATTTGTTCATTTATTTATTAAGTTATTAGGTTTATTCATATAGACTGGATATAATAATTGTTTCAGAATTATTAGATTTAATAATAATTAAATTTATTCTGTTAATCTCTTATTTTAAATTACTTAAATCATCAAATAATTTAGATATTAAAGAAAATAAATGAAACTTTTGATATTGAAATTTTAATTAATTTGTTATTATGGAAAAGAAGGTTTAAAGATTGGAAAATGGGTTGAATTGAATCATGATTATAGGAAATGTTCATAAGTTACCCATATAGGCAAATATCAAAATGGAAAGAAAATTGGAATTTGGGATATTTATTGGAAATATCATAGCAACCATAGGATGTATAAAAAAAAATTAAATATAGTGGTGGAGGATCATATGTTGATTTATAAAAAACAAGAGGCTAGAGTTTTAAAAATAAGTGGTGGATTGAATTGAGTGACAAATTTAATTATTGGTTAAAAATCTTTTATGAAGGGTAGTATAATTAAGGTAAAAAAATTGGTATATGGAATATGATAAATATAAATGGAAGGAGGATGATAAATTTATTTTTAATAAAATTATGTAAAAGTGATATGCTAAATTACGATGATTTGAAAACTTTGAGAGGGGAATGAATATTGATATAAATGTCAAACAAACTTAACAACAAGATCTTTATTTTATGGCAAACTTTATTTTTATCTTTTCTTCAATGGAATTAATTTGATTTTTTCCCTTTTTCTGAGATTTCATTATTTTAATTTTGATTAGGCTTATTTTGTTTTTCTTTAAATTTGATCTATATGTGTTAAATAAATTGATTATATGGCTAGAGGTATTAGTTAATGAATGAAAAAATTTAAATAAAAGGTGTTGGATCAATTATAAATTTTTAGGTATCAAACTATTTATAAAAGTTACAATCTAAATAGTTACAATTCAAATTAATTGCATTATCATATAAAATTTGTATCTTCCATTTCCTTATAAACAATTTGAGCTCATTAACTTTTCAATATTATTAAAATTAGTTTAAACTTTATTAGCTTTTAATTATTAAACAGTTTTATTTAACAGCCCTTTTAACTTAAATTATTTAATTTTGATAAAAAATTAGTTGTATAATATGTTGCAATTTTTT